TACTCGTTCGGCGTCGTCCTCTCGGAGCTCGACACGTGGCAAGTGCCATACGCCACCGCATCCTCTTCGCAGCCCATGTCGGCGGTGCAGATGGCGCTGCTCGTCTCGACCGGGAAGCTCACGCCGACCTTCCGCGACGACTGCCCGTCCGACATCTTGGCGCTGGCCAAGGAATGTCTTGCCATGGACCCTGACGATCGACCGACGGCGGCGCAGGTGTCCTACGCGCTGCGCAAGCTCCTTCGCGCCACCTAGTTGTCGACTTGAGTCGGATTTGTGTCACTACTTGAAAATTGCGTCGTTCTTTTTAATAAATTGCGTCGGTTACGGTATCTTTTGGACAGGCGGCAGGCAACGTTTCGGGAAACCTCTGCTCATGGGCGACCGATCGCTCACGGCGCAGTGCGGCAGCGCCAAGAGCGTCGTCGTCTGCATTGTGGGCGCTAACGACCGCCAGGTCAACTTGGCGCCAAGTGCGAATGGCAGCCTCACGGTCAAAGAGCCGTTCCAGATACTGCAGGCGCTGTCGCCCAAAGTGGCTGCCTAGTACCGACGACGCCTCGATGGGATCACTCGCTGACGGCGACCTCTTAGCACGCTCAACGACGACGGCGTCCGGCGCGTGAACCCGTCATTAGGCGACAACTTGCCGTCGAGCGCCCAGCTCACGTCCTTGTCCGCGCGCTCACCAACCTCCTGGACGCTCTCAACCACGCAGTGTAGGAGTCTCCAGGGCAATGTGCTGGATGGCGCGCTCAACATGGTTCAGTGGCCGCCGTCGCTTACGACGCTGTAGCAATGCTTTGAGAAATCTTGTTGTAAGACGCAGTGCGTAGGGACCTCTCGGGCAACCGCATTGGCTTTGTGAACGCCTCGTTTGTCATCCCGTCCAAGCTGCGCACGCTGTACGAGCGACGCGCTCTGGGATGGCGCTCATCGTGGCGTATTCCTAGCAACTTGTCCAACAACAAGATCGCGTCGATTGACCGACTGCGCATTCCGTCGACGCTTCGCATCCTGTGAGCGCCTATCAGAATGAACGACTCGAATGGCATTGAACTATTGCACTAGGTGGCTGGCCGACAACCCGATCACGACCTTCAATGTGGACGCAGCCTCGTTTACGTCGCTGAGCGAAATGAGTCTTGTTGCGGATGAGCCCATCGTGCCGACGAGCTGCCGCGGCCAGCTCCGCACGTTCAAAGGCGCGCCGGACGCAGAGACGCAGCAAGCGCTCGTGCACTCGGTGTGCGTCGTCTACGGTACGCGCTCGCGAGCGACGCTTTGACCCACGTTGCGTCACTAGACGACGCGGTTCCCGTCGACACGAGCAGCAGCAACGGTGCCAGTTATCTGCAAACGATTGACCTCACTGCTGCGCTAGTGGCCGGCGGCGCCCAGTCCCCGGGTCGCGAAGGTTGTGGAGTGATGTCTGTCTCCGAAATACTGATGCGATGTCGTAGATGCCCCCGCGGGCTTGTACGTTGGGATTGGCATCGGTGTCGGTGCCTTGGTTGCCTTGATTGCTTACTTGTTCTGTCGCCGCCGGGGCCGAGGGTCGTCGGGCGAGAAGCCCTACCACAGCTTGGAGACGCCTCCGCTCGAAGCGACGTCGCGGGGCAGCTCGTTCGAGCGCCATCATAATCAGCAAGAGCACGACATTGCGGTGTCGACCGGGAGCTCTTCGGCAAGCTCGGCATTTTCGTATGACCTTCGGTCGGACATTGAGTTGGACGCGGCGAGGATTCCCAAGAAGGAGCTTTTGCACAAGCGCGTGTGCGGCAGCGGCGGCTTCGCTGTCGTGTACAAGGCGACGTTCCAGGCCCAAATCGTCGCTGTCAAGGAGCTTCAAGCCGTCCACGCGCGCCAGTCGATCTACATTCAGGCGTTCATGCACGAGATCAAGATGTTCTCGACGCTCAACCACGACAACATTGTTGCGTTCGTCGGGGTGTCGTGGACCACGCTGCACGACTTGGCGCTCGTCACCGAGTTTTTGCCCAACGGCGACCTCCGCGAGCTGCTCTCGCACGACGCGACGGCCCAAGCGCTGCAGTGGACGGTAGCGTCGTCGACGTACCCCGTCTCCAAGCTGCAGATGGCGGTCAACGTCATCGATGCCATCACGTATCTGCACTCGTTCGAGCCCAAGATCCTCCACCGCGATCTCAAATCCCGCAACATTCTCCTCGACGGCTACTACGTCGCCAAGCTCACGTACGATACTACACTCTAGTTTTGTGCACAAGTCGACGTACCTTCTAGGGACTTCGGTATCAGCCGGTCCATGATCGACGAGACCATGACGATGGGCACGGGCACGACGGCGTGGGCTGCGCCCGAAGTGCTCCTCCACGACGGCCATTACAACGAAAAAGCCGATGTTTACTCGTTTGGCGTTGTCCTCTCGGAGCTCGACACGTGGCACGTCCCGTACGCGTCTACCTCGTCGTCGCAGCCCATGTCGGCGGTGCAAATGGCGCTGCTTGTCTCCACCGGCAAGCTCACGCCGACCTTCCGCGACGACTGCCCGCCACCCGTGCGCGTGCTTGCGGAGCAGTGCTTGACGATGGACCCAAGTGGCCGACCGACAGCGTCGCAAGCAGCGTACGAGCTCCGCCGATACATGCGGTCGCTGCCGTCCGCGCCCGGCGAGGACTCGTAAGAACCGCGACCTACTCATAATCCTCAGCGTATGGTTTGGCCGAAGCACGTAACACATTGACCTTTTTTCTCGTGCTGCCACGTCATAAAAAGTACCACTACTGCTTCGTCAACAGGCGAGTCGCACCTTGCGCTGCACGGGCGGTGTCGACTACAACAGCCCGTACAACTAACTAGGACTCGTCGAAACGTGCACACTCCAATGGTTCAGGAAGAGGTGTCGGTGGCGGGCAGGCAATGCTGCCCAATAGGCCAGCTGACATTGATATATATCAGCCAAAAATGGCGCTGATCCACCACGTGCCAGCTGTGCCACTGCTGTCCACAAGCCGATCGCGTCGCGGGACCAAGCATATTCGAACGCAGTCGAACGGCAAGGTGGCGTTTCCAAGGTTCTGCGTTCGTCAAGCACGTTCGCCTACGTGAAATGCGTATCATTTGGCGTCGAGGTACGACGAAGACGGTGCATTGTATGAGACTGCGGTCCGCGTGCAGGCAGTAATCTCAGGTGGCTTGAGATTTCACGTATAAAAAAGCTGGTTTTGCGCGTTTCGCAGCCATTTTTCGTGATTTTTGAGTCGTTTTGGACCGGAAAAGACACCACTTGGCACATGCAGCTGGCAATGGAGCAACTCAAGCGCCAGCGGCTCGCCAACGCCGGCGTGACGTATCTCATGCGCAGATCTGAATTCGACGCGATTGCGAGCGCATCACTCATGTCCGTGCTCGCATCCCCGCCGCAGCTCGCCCGCGTGGACGAGGTAGACCTGTACACGCTGCGGTCGGCGCTCGACTCGTCGTCGACGATCGCGTCCAATGCCGAGCTCATACAGGCGCAGCTCGCGCGCTTCCTGCCCGCCGACTCGCTCGTGGACCTCGAGACTGGCGACGTGCGCTCGTACGCGGCGTCCGTGCTCCTCACGGCGTGCACGCAGTCGTCGCTCTCGGACGAGGCCAAGCTGCGCTTCGTCTTTGACCTCCTCGACGTCGACCGGACCGGGTTCGTCACGCGCGCCGGCATTGCGTCCTTCCTCGAGACGACCATGAATGTGCACCACGTCACGCTTTGCGGCGTCAGCGTCGGCGACGTCCTCGACCGCGTCTTTGCCAAGACCAGCAACGGCGTGCTCACGTTTGGTGACTTTTGCTCCATCTTCCACGAGCCGGCATCGCCCGCTGCTGTCAAGGTCGCGCCATCCGCGTCGCGGCCGCCGTCGTCGCGTCTCGACGCCATCCTCGACTGGCTTGCGGCCCACTACACTGAAGTCCAGTTTCTCACCATGTACTTTCTCCTCAACTTGATTGCGTGCACGATCAAGATCACGACGATTCCGTGGGACCCGATCGCGGGCCAGCTCGCGCGTCTCGCCAAGGCCATGGCCCAGATCGTCCTCGTCAACGCCGCCTGCGTGCTTCTGCCCATGTGCCGGTCGCTCGTCACTGCGCTGCGCAACGTGCGCTGGCTCTGGGCGATCGTCCCGTTCGACCACACGATCGCCTTTCACAAGCTCGCGGCCGTCGTTTTGCTCTTGGCGTCCGTCGTTCACTCGGCGGCGTGGGTGCTCATCGTCGTCCGCGCCCGCGAAGCATCGGACCTCGACTGGAGTGTTTCGATCCTCAACAAGAAAAAGACCCGGCTCTTGCGCTACGGCACCCTCCTCGACATTGCCGCCGAGCTTCCGATCTGGACCGGCCTCGCCATGCTAGTCTGCGCACTGATCGCCGTCCCGTGCACGCACCACCGCATCCGTCGGGCGAATTTCAACCTCTTTTGGCTCAGCCACTGCCTCTTCGTGCCGTTCACAGTCTTCCTCTTTGTCTGTCCTTATGTTTACCCATGAGATCTGATAGCTCTGTTGACTAGATGCACGGACTCGACGGCTGGATGGCGCCGCCGCAGACCCATTTCTGGATGGGTGGACCACTTATCGTGTTTCTCATCGAGCGCCGGTACCGCGTCTCGGCCGTCTTCGGCGGCTCGACGCATATCCTCAAGGCGCACATTGCGTCCGACACGGTGGCCATCTACATGCACAAGCCGCGCGGCTTTCGCGATTTTCAGCCGGGCATGGTACGAATTTTCTCATTTTTCGACTTGAAAGATTGATAGTTATGAAACTGTAGTACCTTTTCTTGAAGGTGCCAAGCCTCTCGCGCTTCGAGTGGCATCCGTTTACGATCTCATCGTGCCCGGAAGACAACTATCTGAGCGTCCACGTGCGGCGCGCGGGCGACTGGACCGGCGCGTTGCACGACCGCCTCGCGGACACCAGCCAACCCTACCCCGCGATCGCGATCGACGGCCCCGTGGGCACGCCGTCGCAGGACTATGACAACTACCCGGCTGTGGTGCTCATCGGCGCCGGCATTGGTGTCACGCCGTTCGCTTCGATCCTCAAGCACCTCGTGCACGTGTGGGAGGAGCACCGGTGCCCCGACTGCGGCGTCGTCCAGCTCCCGAAACGCATAGCACTCCAGAAAATCTACTTTTTCTGGGTCACGCGCGAGCAAGAGAACCTCGGCTGGTTCCGTGACACGATGCAGCAGCTCAGCCTCATGGACACGGACAACCGGCTCGAGATCCAGACGTACTTGACGCCACTGAGCCGCGAGTCGGTCGTTGCGCCGCTCCGCCTTATCCAGACCTTTATGCAGCTCGAGGACGGTCATGACGTCTTGACCGGTATCGCATCCAAGGACAAGAACGTCACCCACTTTGGCCGCCCCGACTGGTAGGCGGCTTATTGACGCATGTACTTGGATCGCTCATGCTTGCATTTGTGCAGGTCGGCGGAGCTGGCGCGTATTGGCCAAGCCCACCGGGGCAGCGAAGTCGGCGTCTTCCTCTGCGGCCCGCAACCGCTCAACCGAACGGTGGGCGCCGCCTGCCACGCTTTCAACCAGGCACAGACGGACGGCACCGCGTTCTCGTACCACTCGGAAAAGTTCTAATCCCCCTGTAACCTAACCACGTAAAAGACTATGAAATTATTGTCCACTTCTACGAATCTATCTTTTTATTTAGATGGGCTGTGGCGAGTCGGGGCTCGACGCTTGCGGCGGCTCCTGCACTTGGGCGCGCTGCCGCCACCGAGTGACCCAGACGGGTGCGTGGGTTTGAAGTAGCGTGAGGAGCTGGAGAAGCACCGTAATCGCCAAGCCGTTGCCGTCTGCGTCGTCAAAGCAAAGCACTTTGATCTCGTAGCAGATCTTGCAGAGCGTCGGGAGGTTGGTCGGGGATTCGAGAAGCGCCCACAGTTTAGAAGACAAGTTGTACTTGTTGTCATAAATGTCAGCTTCAGAGGCGCGTAGCTGTGGGCCCCAGAGCACGAGCGAGGCCATGAGATCCGTCGTCGCCAGGAGGACGACAACCAGTGTTGACCAGAACGAACCTCCAGGGCTTGGAACCTCGATCACAACATCGTTCGATCGCAGAACCGGTGGCACGGCCGAGTAGACGGTCCTCGAGCACGCGCCAATGCATGATTCGCGCTGGCCGCAGAGAGGTTGGCGGAAGGCGAGGCAGTTACGGTCGCAGGCGACCGGCAGCTGGGGCCAGAGGCGCGTGTAGTAGCCCAGACGCGTGCTGTTGCAGTACGCCTGGCACGCCTCGGCGTCGCTGTAGGCGGCTGCGCACAGCGATGTCCGGCTTGCCTCGCACATGGGCGCGCATCGGTCAACGAAGGTCTGCAGCTGCGGTGTCCACGGCGTCGGGGGCGAGCCCTGCACCATCAACTTGGGCGCACTTGCCGCCAGCACCGAGAGAAGACCGACGCCGAGTAGAGCCGCGCGCAGGCGAAATACGTTCACCGAGCAGTGCTGTCGCAGCCATGGTACGACGTTCGAGCGCATTTGGCTGTTGCGTAGCAAGGGACAATAAGCTTCTTATTGAGCTGAGTCCCGAGGCTAATTTTGCTAATTTTGGCGCGTCCGTTGAGAGCCAGCGACTTCAACGCCTGCAGACACGCGAAGCGGTATACGCATGCAGGCGAGTAGCCGCAGAGTCAGCCACGGTCCTGCATCTTCAAGGAATCGGGCGACGACGAGAAGAAGCCCGTGCATTTCTTGTCGCGGGTTCTCTAGGGCAATGGACATCGCCACATTCATGGAGGTAGGTGGTAGCTGAGCTGCCGCAGGAAGGACTCGTGCCCATGGGTGCCCCGGTGTACAGTACGTGGCGAGATGCTCGTCGATCGATGTGCCATCGCCGGCTACTTCAAGTGGCACCACGGCTGAACCCACTGCTGGCCTGGCATGATTCGCTACATTATGGCCAATCCAAAGGCATTTAGACAATATGTGACGTATGATTGGCCAAAAAAGAAATAGAAGTTCCGGATTGGTCGATATCGAACTGATCAATTCGTTCCTATCCTCTTCCTCCTCGCACAGGGCCGACGTGGCGACGACTGCCCGTGGCCAACGATGGCCTTGACGGGCCCATGCGATGGAGCCAGCCAAGTCCTCTCGCCTGCATGCAAGTAGACTAAGGTCAAGACGATCGAGTACACGTCAAAGGACACCTATTACACATGATATGCTTTCGTTGGATCGATCGGCTATTGCGATCGCAAGCTCCAGAACGGGTTGGTGTAGAAGCGATGTCGTCGCTGCTGCTGCTTGGGCGGCGTCTCGGGCACGGCGGATCGTGTGATCGTGCCATCAGTCGCGTCGAGCCAGCGGCGCGCCATGATCTCGAGCCGTCGCCGGAGGATGCGGTTGAACGGCAGCGTGAGCAACATGGCCTCGCCCGTATTACCGTCCTGCAAGACAAAGATGACGCGGCTCAAGATTGCTCGACGAACGCTCGGGCTCGCGAAGATCATGGCAGCGATCCGGTGGTGCGAGCGCACGGCGCCGAGGTTCGCCTGGTTGCGCGCTACAATCTCGTCGTCCGTCGACGTCGTCGTCGTCGCCGCCGGCGGGCACGTGCTGCCGCGCCGGCTCCAGACAAGAGAGGCAATCATCGAGAGCGCCATGAGCAGCAGTACGTAGAGCTTGGCGCGGATGAGGTCGGCGAAGCTCTTGGTCGTCGTGCCCATCGTCGCCAAGCGGCCTGTATAAATTATGACTGCAGTGTCGCTGCACCCAATGCAGGTCGTTCTCATTGGTCAAAAAGCAGCCAATCCAAGGTCGACGTGGGAAATCTAGAGCTTCCGGCTTCGAATTTTCCATGCAACGAGCCTGACCTCGAGCATAAAGATCGCTTGGCGCGGGCAACCGCGGCCGGGATCGATGCGCGGGCCAACGCACATTCCTCTGTATTAAGTTGGATCGAATAGAGCGGCCGGAAGGGAGGAAGCACCCACTAGTCTGAACCGCTCGTGCTCCTTGAATTTGCCACTTCAACTTGACTGGCCCTTCTGGCACCTGCCAGCGCCCAATCCCGCCGATCCACTCCCATTTCATGGTACTACACACCGAGCGCTGACTCTGGGCTCTGGAGCTCAACTAAATATGGGCTCTGGAGCTCGACTGACTCACTTCAAACCTCACGGGATTTCATTGTTGTCATTGCCATCTCCACAGCGCACATGGTAGGCTTGGAAATACCGAGTTTGTTGCGCTAAGAACGTACTCTCGACGTCCGCCTTAGCCGCGCAGCCAGAGCGAGAGTTGGTCTTCGTATGCCATGCACATGCGGTCCATCTCGCGCCGAAATCGACTGGCGCCGTCGTCGACGGCTTCTTCCACGACGACATCGACCCACGCGGGGGATGACGACGACGCATCATCGTCGTCCTTGTCCTTTTGCAGCGCCTCCATTTCCGCAAGGACGTCCCGGAGCTTGGCTTCGCGCTCGAGGTCGGCGTTGCGCTCAATCGAGCAAGTCGCGTCCCAGCGCAAATAGTACTCGGTCCAGAGCCGGAGCGACTTGACCGAGACGCTCGGGATGAGCACGTCGGTATCGTCCACGGCGTCCACGCACCGGGCGTTGCCATCGCTGCTTTCATCGCTCTCGTCGGCGGCGTTGCTCACAAAACTAGCGACCAGCGCGTCTCGAACATGACGTGGCGGCCGCGGTGGCACGACCGTCTCCTCGGTCACATGGGGGAACATGAGGCCCGTGTCGAGGTCCTGGACTATCGAATGCACGAGCTTGGTCTTGGCCGATGCCTCGTTCGTCGGCGGTGACGCCGGCGCCGTCGACGCCATCGGTGTCCGCACCGGCGCCGCGTCGTTGTGCACAAAGACAAGGTCGTCGTCCTTGCTCTCTTCGAGGCCGACCACGGTGTGGGCGTCGGTCCACGGCGGCATCGGCACCTCGTTTGCTTGGCGGCGCTCCTTCATGCGCGCGTGCCAGTTTTGGCGCGAGTACTTGCGGGGCTCGTAGAACGGGTTCGAGATGAGCGAGACCTCGAGCGACGAGAGGTACGTCCAGAGCGAGATCGTCGGCGCCGACTTCTCTTCGCATACGCGCGCATTCTCCGAGTCGTAGAGGAATGTGCCAAAGCGACAGGCATACAGATGGTCCAGCACGAGGATGAGGTACCGCGTGTTGAACTCGAACGAGCACGGGAACTGCCGCATGAGCTGCCAGACGCACTCGATCCACTGCAGGAAGACCACCGAGACCTCGCTCGCGTTGATCGTATCGCTTGGCGGCGGGTGGCCCGTGCGCTCCGAGAATTTGTGCCCAAAGCTGCACCAGTCCTTCTCGACGAGGAGGGCGAACCCGCGCAGCGTGCGGTAATGCGGGTCTAGCATGAGCTCGGCGAGTGCTGTGAGCTGCGACGTGCGGTCCCAGCCGTCGCTGCAGTGCACGAGGACGCTCGCTTTCTCGGTCTTGACGAGGCGCACAATCTCGACAGCGGCGTGGAGGATGCAGCTGATGTGGTCCAGCCACTTGGTCGCAGCGACGTGTTCGTTCCACTTGCCGATCGAGCCGGACGTGGCCGGCCGCTGCTCCTTGGCCACGCACAAATCCACGAGCTTCTGAAAGCTCTTGCGCATGATGTGAATGTTCTCAATGCCCATAAACACCAGCCGGCAGTCGGTGAGCCCCAGGTGCATCGAGGACGACGTGGCGACGGCCGGCTCGTCGGCGTCGTCGTCGCTGCTCGGCTTGGCCTCGTAGTGCGCCGTGAGCTCGTAGCCGGCGCGCCCGACGGTCTTTTGCGCGACGGCGTTGGCCCACGGCCGCGCGTCGACGATGACGAGCGTGCTGCTTGACGGATTCGCGGCCGCGATCGCTTGGATGAGCGCAATGTCTTCGGCGCACTGCTTTTGCCCGAGTCCGACGAGCGGCTGGCTGCTCCGGCAGATGGTTGCGCCGGTCTGCACGTCCCGCCAGCTCAGCGCCGGAATCCGCGATTTGGACCGGAACGCGCCGGCGACGAGGAGGACGGCGTCCGAGATGATGGCGGGCACCGCGATAGCCGCCGAGTACGTCGGGCAAAAGGTGTAGTTGTGGTTGACGCTCGTGATGCGCCACGTGGTTGTGACACCCACCCCGAGCCGGTTAAACTCGGCCACCGGGTCATAGACGTTCCAGCCGTCGCCGATCGTGGCGGTCGGGAACGTCTCGGTAGAGACTTTGGCAAAGTACGGCATCGGGTGCCGCAGCAGCTGGTCGCACTTGTCGAAAAACGAGTATGTCTGCCGCTGGACGAGACCTGGAAAGATGAGCTGGAGGCGCCGAATGTCCTTGCAGATAAGGTCGAGGACGCCCGTGTCCGACTCGGGCAGCTCTTGGCGCTTGATGCGGTCGATTGACCGCAGAGGAATTGCGTGGTAGAGTGGCGGCGCCAGCATCGGCGCGCTGTGGATGCTGAGGCCCGACTGGGACTTGGACGACCGCCGGCGCAGCGGCGTCGCGACCTCGTTCGCGAGCGGCTTGTGGAGGCTCGTAAAGACGACGCGGTAGTTGGTGATGTACAACGTGCCGGGCTCGTTGTCCTTGTAGTCGGGCGTCCGCAGGTAGACATCCGGGCCACGCACGACAACGACCTCGCCCGGGATCGTCTGGATGCACACGGCGTCGGCGAGACTCGCGGTCATCGGGCTCTGACTCGCGCTCACATCGTAGAGACTGCTGTCGTCGCAATCGTCGTCAATAGGCAGATGGTGGTGCAGGTCTGCGTGCATGGTGGTCATGCTGGACGCGGGCAGGCTCTGCGTCAAGCTCTGTCGCCGCCGCTCGTTGACCATGTGCCGATGCGACCGCTTCGCCGCCTCGCAGCACTTGTCGCAGACGCGCACGGGCGTGAAGAAGCCGGCCGACACGAGCGGCATGCGCGAGAGCGAGCACGCGTCGCAAAAGATGTTGCCGCAGCGGCGGCAGTGGTGGCGGCGCAGCACGAGCGAGAAGGTCGCTTGGCACTGGTAGCACTTGTCTGCGAGCGAGTCGGGCACCCATGCGACCGATTTTTGCGTGATGCGACTCACCTCGTTCAGGATCACTTGGCGGATGCTCTCGGCGGGGCTCTCGCGGCCGACGGCGGTCGACGTGCGCTCGGGCGACGTTCGGCGCTCGTCGGTGGGCACGGACGGGATGACCACCTGGAGCGACTTGCTCAGTGATGTCATGTCTACCTAGTCGCTGCGCGCATGAGGCGCTACCATCGTCATCATGACGGCCTACCGGGACGCCGATGGCTCTGCGTTCGCGCTCTGGCAGGAAACGTTTGCTCTTTTTATATCCGGATATGAAACGGTAGCGATTGGCTAAAAAGATGACCCAATTCAGGTGGTAGCCAATGAAATCGCAGAAGTCAACCAGCATACAGTGCGCCAGTGCAAACGTGCGAATCTCGATGGATCCCACCTTTACACAGTATTTAAAAATTACTAAATAGTGTACATTGAGAACACGCACTGCTTCTCCCGCAAGATTCTGCTCAGCGCGCGATGCCTCGCTCACGTACTGGACCTGCATCGCTCGCTCGGTAAAGTATAGAATCAGAAGAAAGGTGTGCAGGTGACCCCTGCAGATATCTTTCTTGTGCTTCATTTGCACACTATTTCGGTGTCAACCGCGTAGAAACCCCGCGAAACCGTAACCACTTGCAGAATGAACCCGATCGACTTGCGCTTCACCGGTCTACATCGCTGCGTGCCTAGTCTTTTTGCTAATATACCTGACCTATCCCAGATGCCATCACCAAGGGCGACGAGGCGGCGGTTGTATCCTTTGTTGAGGCCGGCGACGTCGACGTGAACGCGCCCGACCGCGACGGCGACCTGCCCCTGCGCACGGCGGCCAAGAAGGGCCAGTTGGCCGTCGCAGAGCTCCTCGTGTATTACGGTGCCGATGTCAATGCGACCGACGTACGACGCCTCGCTTCCTGCATAAACGCGCAGCTCATTCGTGCAGGTCTATGGCTGGAGTGCTCTTCATGAAGCCGCGCTCATGGGGTCGGACGACATGGTGCGGACGCTGCTCAAGCTCGGTGCCGACAAGACGCTGCGCAACGAGGTGCGCACGCTGCAACGCCGATGCGCCCGACGGCGTCGTGTGCGCGTAGGACGGGCAGACCGCACTGGACGTCGCGGTGCAGTTTGGCCACGCGCCCATCGTCTTTGTGCTCTGCGAAGGCCACTCGGCGCAGACAGGCTTCTACTGAGCATCGTCAAAATGCATCTCTGTGCAGCAGCGTTGTGATCTCGAGGCGCGATCGTCATAGGCCCAGGATGCCATCACTGCCTCCTGTCGTCCGTAGGCCCTGGACATCGACTTGCTCCTGACGCTATGTATCGAGTGCACCACGTCGCCACGTGTCGAACGATCAAGATCGCGTTCGTTTCACTGGATTTTATTAGCAATTGCCGCACGGTTGTTGGGCTGCGCATATCTCCGCCCATCGACGCTGAAAGAGGCCGTGGCGCCTGACGTGCGAGCGGAGCCTCGGTGCACAGCCACCCAGCATCGCCGCCAGAGGCAGCGGTACACTGTACCAAAGCTCCACAACGACGTCTCCGTCACAGGTGCCCTTTCCACCCAAGCCCCACACATAGCTGTCGTCACGACAACGCACGCAGTCCCACGGCCATTGGCTCTTGGAGCGTCTGATCTTCTCGACGCAGCAGTTGATGCAAGGACAAATATGTAGCAGCAGCGCTACTAGTAGTCGCTAATCGCGTGGTAACTAGTGCGGCAGCCTCCATGTAATGAGCTCGTAACGACGTCGTTTGCGCTTCCGCCCGGGCAGCGCGGGCGTAGTACCGCACCCAAGACAGCGTCGCCCCGCGGCTTTGTGTTGGTCGCAGAGATTTCCTACACTTCCAGCATTACGCAATCCTGGTCGTGGTGGCCGTTTCCCTCATGACGATGCCGCTTTCTCTGTATGTTGTGAATAGACAAATATATGAAGGGCAATTCCATTTTTTCCATAGATATCAGATTGTATGTATCGACTATACCCTCCGAGGTTCGGCGCATTTTAAACAATCAATTTAAATGCACTTTGTCTTTGTATGGAAATGGAAAATATGGAATAAAAATGCAACTTCAACTTCGGGCTTGTAACGCTGATCGGGCGCAGAGGCTTCATAGCGGCGGCCCACAACTGGTAACGCAGTCGCCAGATACGAGACCTACACCGCCGCGACGCCACTCTTCCTTTGACCATATCCCATGAAGTCGCTCCTCACCCGCGCCCGCTTACCGCCGATCGCCGAGGTCGTCGACGAAGCCGACGCCGACGTCGCCAGCTACCGTCGCCCGGCCGACTACAATGATATCTTTGCCAAGCGCCCGGTGCTTCTGCGGTCGCACAGCGGCGACAGCTACGGCATGCAGACGATGCACTTTATCTCGATGGTCTTCTCCGTCATCTGCATCGAGATTTGCAAGGGCGTGCTCCTCCGGCTCATGGCGCTCGTGACGCTCGCACTCGTGCTGCTCGTGGGTCACCAATGGTACCTCGTCGCACGCTGGGAAAACTTCTAGATATCTTATTGTCGTAACGCTATGTTCTTATTTATGAAACGGCTTATGCGGCCTCGTCGCCGCCGCCACGCTTGTCGATGGCCACGTCCAAGGTCGGGTTGCGCTCCTGGAGGACCTCGAGCGCCGCGAGGCCCGCGTCGCCGAGGTTGTTGCCGCCGACCTCGAGCGTCTTGAGCGCCGTCGGCGTGTGCAGCGCTTCAAAGAGAGCGATCGCCAGCGCGCCATGGAGCGCGTTGGCGCCAACGTCGAGGCCTTCGAGCACCGGGTTGGCCAGCAGCGTCGGCAGCACGTCCAGAAGGCCCGCGCCGAGCGCGTTGTCAAAGACGCGGAGCTCCTTGAGCGGCGACGCGAAGTGCGGGCGCATGCCAATGCTGGTGAGGCCGTTCGCGCTCAAGTCCAAGTGCACGAGCGTCGACGGCGTGCGAAGAGCCATCGAGCCGTCGTCGCCGAGCTGCGTCTTGGCGAGCACGAGGCGCGCGAGGCCAGCGTTCGCAGACAGGCCGGCGGCAAAGCTCTCAATGCTGGCCATCTTGTTCTGGGACACGTCCAGTGTCTTGAGCGTCGCGTTCTGGCCGAGCGCGCGGCCCAGCGCGGCCCACGCCGCCGGCGACAGCTGCGTCGACGAGAGGTTCATGGACGTCAGCGACGTGTTGGTCGCAAGCGCGTCAAAGAACGCGACGCACGAGTCGCCGAGCGGGTTGCCCGCAAGGTTGATCGTCTGCAGCGAGCAGTCGGGGCGGCGGACCCACGTCGCGAGCGCCGACGACGCGGCGCTGTGCAAGACGAGCTCGTTCTCGGCGATGTCGAGCTCGCGGACCGCGTTGGAGGCGGCAAGACCGGCGACGAGGTGCTCGAAGCCCTGCGTGTGAATCTTGTTGCGTGCGAGAACGAGGTGGCGGATGCTCTTGTTCGTGCCGAGCATCGCGCCGAGCGCGGTCGCGCCGTCGTTGCTGAGGCCCTTGAGCTCCATATCGAGCTCCTGGATGGCCGACGCCGGGTTCTTGGCCAAGCCCGCGCAGAGGATCGCGAGGCCAGCGTCGCCAAGCGCTTCGGTGCCCACCGCGAGCTTGCGAAGGACCGTGTTCGTGGCGAGGACGTTGGCAAAGGCCTCGAGGCCGTCCGCGCCGAGGTTGTGCCCCGAGATGTAGAATTCTTCCATGGTCGGGTGCGTCGCAAGCGCGGAGGCGAGCGAGATGGCGTCGGTGGACGTGATCTTGCGCGTGCTAAGGATGTACATAGACTTGGTGTTCTGCGCCTGGAGCTTCTGCACCAAGTCGGTCACGCCGGCCTTCGTTCCCCACACCATGCTCGTTGCTGGCGGCAAATTCGATTTTTGACACGAATTTTGACCAATCCTATGGCAACATTTGTGATTGGCGGAAATCTAGATAATAAAGAGCCAATCGGACGCTGCAAATCGGTATCTTTCAACGACGGTGAAATGGTGGTCGACGGACGCCAGTTCTTTCCAAACGATGACCGAGGGCTCGACCACGACCGACGAGTCCTTGAGCGTCGACGTCAAATCGGTGCTTGCGGCGACGGCGCTGGCCCTTATCATCCTATATGTGGCGTGCTGCCTGCGCCGGGCGCGCCACGAGCAGCTGCTCCAAGGTCCAGCGAGCGACGCCGAGCAGGATGTCGCGGTTTCAAGCACCCAATCGCCGCCCGCGCAAGTGAGCGCGCCGACTGCCGCCGACATGCTGACGTCGATGACTGAGCTGCAGAGCCTGCGCATACCGACGCAGAGCATCAGACACCGCAAATTTCTTGCCCGTGGTGCGCATTGCTCAGTGTACAGCGCTCAGTACGACGGGGCGCCCGTAGCGATCAAGGTGCTGTCTCCAGATGAGTCATCTCTCCAGCAAAAGACACGCGCGCTACTGCACGAGCTTTTGCTCTGCTACCGCTTAGAGCACCCCAACGTCATGCGCGTGCTAGGCGTTGCATGGACAGAGCATCATGTGAAAGCACCTTCTGACGTGGCGATGGTCATGGAGCTTCTCCCAGGCGGCAACTTGCAACATCTGCTCGCTGCTGACATTGAGCTTCACGCATGGAAGTGGCTCTCGACCAAGAAGGCGCCCGTGACCAAGCTCTCGTTCGCGATCGGAATCATGGATGCCCTCGAGTACATGCACGCCCAGGGCGTTCTCCACGGCGGCTTGAAGGCCAAGAATGTGTTCCTTACACCAACGTACTCTGTCAAGCTCAGTGACTTGGGCGTGACGCGCCACACCGAGGTCCAGCTCGCGCTCAGACCTCCATCCAACGCACCGACCAACCGCACGGCCGGCTGGATTGCCCCCGAACTCTTCCAGAGCTCAAGTGCCAGCTCGATCGCAAGCGACATTTACGCCTTTGGCGCTGTCTTGTGCGAGCTAGACACATGCAAACCGCCGTTCTCGACGCTCGTGGGTCCCGGTGGCCTCGATAACGTTCAGATCGCACTCCTCGTCGTGCAAGGCAAGATGCAGCCCAAG